CAAATCAGCAGGAAAAGTTCTCCTAATCTGAAAGGAGTTTGTTTACGGGAGAGCAAGTAAAAAGAAAACCATGCCTAATGCTCAAGCTGACAAGCAATTAACTGCACCACCAGGGATCTTCCACCATCTCATCCTTCAGCCACAAGGTACAGCATCCACTCTGGCTGGGGATTTCATGGTGTGCTCTGCTCCATCAAACTGAGCACACAGCCCTCACAGAAAACAAGACAAAAGACGGTCAAAGCTTACCAGCAGGACAAAAGTCCATCCTGAAGAGAGCAATGTATTTTCAACAAAATTGTTGTTACTCTTTGCCTTCTGCTTCTGCAGATGCTTCACAGAACTGAAACAACTTGGAGCCAGTGACCAAGGTCGTAGCAGCACTTGGGGGACGGGTTGCCTTGTGACTCCGCCCTTCCCCTCCTCGTCCCTCCGATCACGTCTCATGAGCTTTCATCAGTGAAGCAAACTGTAGGTGCATACTGCTATGAGCTAACAGGGGCTCCTTGGCTACTTCTGAAATGCAGATCCACCCAGAGCACACATCTGTGTTTGAGGGGACTGAAATGAGCAGTGAGAGGCTGATGGTGCCTCGGGCTTTTGTCTGAGATACTCCAAGGAGAGAGGAGGGGAAAAAAGGAAGTTCTGGATTCAGAAAACCCATCTGATTCGGGAAGTGGTTTCATTTTAAAGGAAAGGTTCTTCCTGTGTCAATTCTGCAGCAGGGGGTATGTGTGTGTGTGAACACTCCAAAACTGGGAGCAGTTAATGGAGGTGAGAAGAGAGTCTTTTCATTCTTTTAATTTGCTCACTGCCCACTAAGTGACTTGTACTCTAAGTCTTGCTCCTTTTTTTACCCACTAACAAACTATTTTTCTTGGGAAACCTCCTAAATCCAAGGAGGAAAAAAGTGCTCTCTCAAGATTTAGCAATATTGCTGGTGGTAGGAGAGCTGGCATTAGCAGGACAGATTTGAAGGAACTTGTGGTGGTCTGTTCATCTGCAAGGCAGAGAGGTGCTTTTTTTCCTCCATCCCCTCCACACACCCCCAGAAGGCTGTACACTGCCCCTTGAGTTAGTTGTATCTGGTTGCCATGTGATTTACGTAGGCAATGTGGGGAAAAAGAAGCATGCAGGAGAGCACCATGTCAGAGCCAGAAGAACTGTGACTGTGAATAAATAGCTGAAGGTAACATTCAAACCAGGTGTGATGCCCAAACAGGCCTCTTGCCCTCACAAAGAAAGACACAGATTGTTCCCCCTTCCTCTGAGTCCCACATTTGCTGTTATCTGTGGTTATGTTATGGGTTCGGTGCTGTTATTGGAGAGGACAAGAGCTCTAATGAACTTCCAATGAAGAGTGGCAGATATCCCAACCTTAAAGATGTCAAAGGGTGTCAGAAATCCAGAATGGAGGGAGAATACAGGCAGCTGTAGGCAGGGTCACAAATAACCTATGATCTTTAGGAAGAGTCAGTGGCAAATGTTCACCACTCAATTTCCATGGTCAGGGTCAACGTTTTCAAAGAAGAAGCTAGGAGCCTGTTCGGGAGGCATAAAAGGAAGGCAAAGAGAACGAGATTTATTAATGCAAACTGATTCCAAACCATGTCTATCCTGACCTTCATCACACCCAATGTCCACTCTTAAAGTTTATCAGAGGCCTGCCTTTGGGTCACAAATTGCCAAGAACCCACCTCTTGTAAACTCAGTTTTTGTCTTGAGATTTTGGGCCACATCAGAGGAGAATTCACTCCCCCACAGTCCGGCACAGTGACCCAGTTCCTGCACTGGGGCTGGGTCCAGCCTGTCACCTCCAGTACTTCCATCATTGTTTTAAAAAAAAATAAATTGTTTCAGGAGTATTGAGCTGACATCAGACAGACACATCAACCTAAAGCACTTTCTTGAAAGACCTGATCTTGCCTGCCCCAAGGGTAGGTGACATATATAGGCAGCTTGATCAGGACTGTGGGCAGGTCAAACCACCCTGAAAACACCAAAATGGAAGCTGCTGTGCACTGCAAAAGTACTCTCAGCCACTCCAACAGAGAGCAATGCAAAACCTGTACCCGTGTCTCTAATCCATACTTGCTTCATCTCTTAACTCCTTGGTGCTTCCTTCTTTCCACAGCTTTTCCTGCCTGCCTTTTGGAATCCCTGACTGCTCTGTTTTGGGACCTTACATACTAAGTCAGTTCAATGATGACCTCCACTGCTTGCATTCTCCTGGTTCTGGTAGCCTTGCTTTTAACAGTGGTTGTGCACTTCAAATGCTTTCAGTTATTTCAGCTAGAGGAGTCTGAGTGGGAAATGCACTATTAAAAAACTGCATAAGTCTATTCCATGTAAAAATGAAACACCTGTGAGATGTTTTTTTCATGAGGGTACACAAGAAGTGAGACAGGATCATATGAATAAACTAAGCCTAGAGCATCTCCCATTCTTTCCAAAGTGCAGAGTATGTATGTCTCCCTCTCCCTTAGTCCCTCACTCATTCACGTGGCGCACAAACTAGTTTGGTTCCAGGCTTACCCTGGAGCAAAACGACCAATTCCTCTCTTGAGAAAACCTAGACCCATATGAGAGGTGAGTTTGCTTGAGCATCCCAGACAGACAATATGGATTTGTAGTGAACTCAGGTGGATACCAACACTATCCCAGCCAGCAATGCATCTGGAAGTGCCCTTAAGGTAAGTAACATATGTTCTGTGGTCATGGCATGAAAATACCATGAAAGGGATACAACACAACCATCTCATTATTTCAAGTGGAAAAGGTGGGGTGGAACCAAAGAAAAAGCAAAGACAGAGAGAATGAAGGAGAAGAAGGAAGGAAGGAAGGAAGGAAGGAAGGAAGGAAGGAAGGAAGGAAGGAAGGAAGGAAGGAAGGAAGGAAGGAAGGGAGGGAGGGAGGGAGAGGAAAAAACCAGAAAAGCTAGCAAGAATGAAAGCAAGCAAGAAAAGCAAGCAAGCAAGCAAGAAAGAACACATGAAAATTAATTATGCCCCGGGGGCACAGAAACATCAAATGGATCCTAGGGGAGATGAAAGTTAAATGCTATACACTGTGGTCAGAGCTAGCTGATAGCCTCAGAGCACATGGGTTCTCCCACTGGTGTTGTCAACAAGGCCAGCATAGATACCTAGATTCTAGGTCAAATACAGACTAAGCAAGGAGAATTTGACGTGCAACAAAAATCAACTTTTGCTGAAAGATACCCACATTCAGGGGACTGACTCTTGTATTGGGCACTGGTTCTGGCATCTTCCTCCTTCTAGAGAAACCTGTGGCCTATACATTAAAAAACCACACCACAACAACTGCAGCAACATCTGGGAAAAGAGCAACCCAGATTAGATCAAGGCCATGTCTCATCCAAGAACGCACTCTCTGGAAAAGCAGGAGACAAGAGGAAGAACATTTTCCAAGTGATAGAGATTATTTCAACAAGGTGAAGAGTAGAGACAGGAGTGGCCACTGCTTGCTCCAAAGCATACCTGGCTCAGAGGTGCAAACAAAGTTCTCTTAGCTGTGCAAGAAAAGGTGTCAGCAAGTGAACAAGATGACTGGGTGGGAGAGGGTGTTGAGGGGGCCTACATTATATCAGGGTAAGTAAAGGGGACTGCGAGAGGTCAGATAGGTCTTGGGTGGCATTTGGCTCTTTTTGTCCCCTCCTATCACTCCCCTTCACATCTACAACCCTACAGGTAAAGCAGTTCTTCTCCTGTGCCTCCAGAGTTGTTTGGAACAGGGACAGGAAGAAGCAGATCCCTGAAAATCAGTGCTTCTGATACAGGACTGGAGTTAGATCCAGTAATTGCTACTGCCATTGCACATCCTTCCTAGCTGTGGTTAGCTCAGGCTGGGGCTGTGCAGGCAAGAGGTGGGAATGTGTGCAATTGGGGTATCCAGGCTGGACCAGCAGTTCTCATTTCATCAAGCATGGGCAGATTAGGCAGACTGCTGCAGATCAATACTCCAAGGCTGCTCCCTGTGACCCCTGTGCCATGAACCATTTTTTCTCCCAGGATGCTTCCTGACTGTACAGGGAGACTTAAACTGGAACTGGAATAATCTGTTGCTCTGGTGTTCACAAAGGAAAATATCAAACCAACATCATGGGTGCACTTTTCTACTACTCGATATAGGCTTAAAATAATTGTGTAAATACAAAGGAAATATAAATATTTCCTACTACTTTCAAGGCGATAAAGACAGTGACAAAGCCAATGCTAAATATTTCTCTGTGCTAAACATGTCAACTGTATTTCCACAGAGAGACAAAGTACAGATTTGTACAAATTCCGTAGCTCCTTCAGGAGGATTAGGCTGCCATTCAGGTTGGGTTTAGGGATTGCAGCATGGCAGGAAAGAGAGTAACACTTCTTGCATGGTATTGTGAGGATTATAAACTGCACAGACAGTATTTTGATGCAAGGTAAAACAGCACTAGAGCAAAGACAATAACAGAATTTTTCTTTTAATAATTGGAATAAAATAATCCTTATCCAGTGTGAGGAGCAACACAGGCTGTGACAGACAGAGCAGTAGCTCAGGATGCAAACATGCAGGCAGTAAGTAAAGCTGCTAGTGCTGAGTACCTGGAATAGCCTATTCTCAACTGCTTTTACTAATTCAAGCAACTAGAGTCCATTTTAAAAGTAACAAGATGGTGATTATAAAAGGCCACAGGAAAAAAAAGCCCAAACCTATTATAAAGATTACAGGAGGGTCACTTAGAGTCTGATAAACTTGAATGAAGAGCGAGAGGGTTTTTTTTGTTGGACTCAGAAGTGCAGCAAGATTGAAGTTTTATGCCTTTGAAAAAAGATGTAGAAGTCGCTAAAGATTTTACTGTGGTAGTTCAGGAAATATTAGTCTTGCAGAACAGAGTAGCTATAGATTTCCTTAGTAGTCTAAACAGCTCTTTTCACTTCCCTGATGAAGCCTTCCTAGAAGATACCATAGTCTACTATGTAAAGATATGTTTTAGATCTGCTTTTATAAAACATAGTATATCTAACATCTGATAATGTGTGAGACTGTCAGCAGGCAGGGGAGCCAAGTCAAGCAGTTGATACTCAATTTAGAATTTTCACATGTAATCTCTAGTCCCTTACCCCCCTCTACAACAGGCAGGTGAAAAAGGTTGTTGGATCATCTGACCACCCAAGTGGGAAGGGATGCACAGTCAGATATTGATCTGTATTTATCACCATTAAGTAATAGAGTGGTATCAGCGAGATGGGGGTTGTCACAGGCTGAGAACAAAACGTCTGTAAGAATGGAAACTGATATCAGAACCACTGGGGACATGCAGAAGTACAGAGAAGC